GGGGGAAGGGGAGGAGCAGGCTATGGTGATTTCGTTTCTCTCCCCTGATCGGCGAAAGGAGTACAGGCAGGGCAACGTCAGGAAGAAGTGGAGAGGGAAACAAGCGGACATGATGATGGGATTGGGTTACATTATGACCAGAGCGAAAAACGTCTATGGATCGGCATTCAAAGGGGACAGAGGGGAGGACGTGGGGGAGTAAAGACTAGGGAAAAGCAAGATAGGTGCGGCAGTTGTTGGGGGTTTGAGATCGGGGCGGAGGACAAGTGCAGCCATTGTGGGAGATCGGATTCTGGGAAAGGAGGACGGGTGCACCGATTGAGTGAATGGAGTGGGTAAAGAAACACAAGCTGCAACCACGTGGGGAGGGGATTAAAAGGCACTGTGCGTGGCGCAGCCACATGGCTCGATTGAGCGAATAGAGTGGATAAAGAAACACAAGCTGCAACCACGTGGGGAGGAGGTTAAAAGGCACTGCACGTGGCGCAGCCACATGGCTTGATCATCTTTTTTTTTTCGTTTTTCTTTTTCGTCGTGTGAGAGAGACTGAGTGGGGGGGTGGAAGGGGAAAGGGGAGCGGTTTCAGAGGAAGTCGGAGCATCTCCAAGGACGAGGGGGGGGGAGAGCTAAGGCTCGAGATATCACAATGTGGCTGCGCCACGTGGTGCGATTCCAATTGTTTTTTTTTCTTTTTCCTGTCTTTTTTTTGGGTGTGTGTGAGAGAGACCGAGATGGAGGGACTGGGAAGGAGTGAGGGCTTGGGGAACTGGGGGTCGGGGGCTTACAGAATTTGCCGCACGTGGCTGTACCACGTGGCATGATTTCTTTTGTTTGTTTTCTTCCTTTTCTGTTCGTTTGTCTTTTGTGTGTGTGTGTGTGTGTGTGTGTGTGTGTGTGTGTGTGTGTGTGTGTGTGTGTGAGAGAGAGAGAGAGACACGTTGGGGGGGAGACGGCGGGACGGGAAAGGGGGAAGTTGTCGGAAGGGGTTGGGGTTTGAAGGCGCGAAATCGCGCACGTGGTTAGGATATGTGGTGCGAAATCGTGCTTTCTTAGACCACAGGCAGCGCCACATCAGCATGCAATGTAGACCACAGGCAGCGCCACATCAGCATGCCATGTAGACCAGAGGTAGTGCCACATCAGCATGTAATGTAGTCAAGAGTCAGCGCGACATCAGCATTGCCTGGCGCACAGAAGAAGCGCCAGCATGCTGCCTCCACCTCGTGCTGTCGACCGCAGCGCCTGCCTGTAGTCAGCGTCGCACCAGCATAAAGCCAGTTTTAGTCAAAGTCGAGGCAGCGTCAAAGCAGCATAGCAAGACGGAATACTTGACCCACTCGAGGCCAGCCTTAAATAACAGATGTCGAGGCTGTCTGGCCTCGGGTGCTTTTCTCACAGTTGTCCACATTGACTCACAGCTGAGGGCCCGGATTGTACAGTTGCAGACTTCTCCCTTGGACCTGATTGCTGTCTGGGTACCTGCATACAAACAAATGTGTGTGCTTGACCAGCGGCTTGGGATAGGTGCCTGTGGACTTTGACTGTTGGGTGGACGGACAGTTGCAGCTGTCACATGCCCAGGCCCTGATTTCGTGTGGGGTCTTTTTCCCCTGTTTCGGCCTGGGCTGAGGGCGGCCAAGTAGGCCCTCAGGTGACCCTCAGATTCCACGAGACATATGGCATGGGTTATTGCATGTGTGTGTGTGTGTGAGAGAGAGAGAGAGAGAGGGAGAGAGGGTATGGATTGGTTATTGGGGGAGCGGGTGGTGAAGATTTGATACATCGGTTGATCTGTTTTTTACCCCTCTTTTTTCCTGTTTTCTGAGTGCGTTTGTGTGTGTGTGTGTGTGTGTGTGTGTGTGTGTGTGTGTGTGTGTG